GACACCTCCCCAAAACCCTCCCCCTCCGGCCCCCGACACTCCCCCGCAAACACTCCTCTCCTGCCTCCCCGACACCCCCCTGCAAACCCTCCTCTCCTGCCTCCCCTTCCCCCATCAGGCCTCCCCGCCAGGCTTTGTCCTGCTTCCCCAGCAAAAGGTGCCACTTGGTCACATGCGCCTCCTGGCCTCACATTTCAAAAGGCATCAACCATTTTGTATGTGGGGGAAGCTATCGCACTGAAATTCCCATCAGCTAGGTATCTGTGCAGTGCCCACGGAAACTGAGGCACACACACACAGGGGTTTACTACAGCACCGTAGAACTCACGTGCAACTTAAGGCAAATACAATCCCTGCTTCGTCAGAGATGAACCTTCTGCTCTTCTGTCAATTTAATGAGGGCTCCCGCAGCAATGCAAATAATAAAACCCAAATCCTCTGTTCACTCCCCCCCACACTTCTAACACCCTTCCAAGTCTTATCGGAGCCTTACAAGCCCAAAGACTCTGGCTCCTTGTCCTGAGACAGGGATCTGGGGCTGCTTGGTGTTCCACCCTGGGCACGATGCCAGCACTCCGTCGCTGACGTGTTTCATGAGATCTACACCGAACCGCAGCACAAAGGAGAAAATCTGGGCTTAGGCATTAACATCCCACATTAATTTTTCTAGAACGACTGTAACGAGATAAGCCTGTGATGGCACCAACAAGCGCCAGCACTACTTAGGGAACATGATTGCTGGCCCCTGGCAAGTGGACAGGACCGTAGGTATTACATAAGCCTCGTGTTCTCCAGGAAGGGCACTCACTCACCTGCTCTCTCCAATGGGCTCTCCTGTGCTGGAAGGGGCTTGACATTTCAGTCTCATCTGGGCGCTCTCCTCTTGCATCGCGCTCATTGTCAGTTGGGCACGTCTACATGGCAGGCTTCTTGGGCAAGAGTGCTTGTGCAAAAGGTCTTCCACAAGAGCGCGTCTACACTGCCGTGTGCTTTTGCGCAAGAGTGTCCATGGCAATGTGGATGCTCTCTTGCACAAGAAAGCTCTGATGGCCATTTTAGTCATAGGGCTTTCTTGCGCAAGAAATTCATATTGCCTGACTACACTGCCTTCTTGTGGAAGAGCTCTTGCGCAAGAGGGCTTAATCCTCGTGGGGAGAGGAATAACTCTTCCGGAAGAAGCCCTGTTTTCCGACGCTGTACTGTAAATTTACTTGTGCAAGAATGTGCGTGCAGTGTAAACGCTCTGCAAGTTTTTGCGCAAGAACAGCTGTACTTGTGCAAAAAGCCTGCAATGTAGACGTAGCCTTGGTGTTCTGGCTCTCCCTTGCAATCCCGGTCGAGGATTGGGGCCCTAGCATGAGCGGGGTTGTACGGAGAAAGAAAAAGACAGCACAATGTTACGATACAATCTGAGGTATCCGTGCTGTAGGTTCCACGAACAGTAGCAAGAGAGTTTTGATATGGACCGTCCATGGGTTTCAGCCCTGGAGTGGGTGTGGGAATTAACAGGCAGTGAGAGAACAAGTGTCCTGTTGGAGAAGCCAGGGATCAGAGGCGTGGCTAGAGTGGAGTGAAATGGCAGGTTGTAACGAAGCCTGAGACATCATGAAGGAATTAGCAACCAGTCCTAGGTGGGCCATAGAGTGCAGGTAAAAGGAAATATGATCACATGGCTACGGCAGTGGGTGGAGACTCAGGAGATCTGACTCCTAGTCTTGGCCTTGCCATCAACTTCCTGTGTGCCACTGGCCAAATCACTGATGTGAAAAGCAGCCAGGGCATGGGGGGCCTTTGATCTTGGGTGTTCACCGAGGCCTGACTTCCAGAAAGGGTGAGTAGCTCCAGCTGCCATCCGTGAGAGCTTCTGATGTTCAGTGCCTCTGGAAACCAGGCGCTAGGTGCATCTCACATCAGTGGTCCCTTCTAGCTCTTTCACCTTCGTTTCTCTGCACCACTACCAGCAGAAAGGGGGCGAATGACGCTTTGCTGCTCCCGCTAGTGGGGATTCACCGTCCACGGCAGGGGGGCACGTGGTTGTCACTCCCCACCTTCCCTCACATTCTCCACCTGGACTGCAGATTTGCCTGTGGGATGGTTTAATGTGACGTGTTATTTCATTGGCTGCGGTGTGTCTGTAGCTGAACGTGTCCTAGGAACCTAGGGTTAGAACAAGTGACTGGGTAATCATGGCACTTGGGTTCTATTTTTAGTTCTTCCACTACCTTCTCCTGCCGTCATTGTCCTTCCTGAGTTTGTCCATGAAATGGGAATAAAATAATAGAATCCTAGAACACTAGAACTGGAAGAGACCTCGAGGGGTCATCGAGTCCAGTCCCCTGCCCTCATGGCAGGACCCCATACCTGACAGATGTCTGTCTAACCTGCTCTTAAATATCTCCAGAGATGGAGATTCCACAGTCTCCCTAAGCAATTTATTCCGGTGTTTAACTACCCTGACAGGTAGGAACTTTTTCCTAATGTCCAACCTAAACCTCCCTTGCTGCAGTTTAAGCCCATTGCTTCTTGTCCTATCCTCAGAGGCCAAGGAGAACAATTTTTCTCTCTCCTTCTTGTGACACCCTTTTAGTTACCAGAAAAACGCTATCATGTCTCCTCTCAGTCTTCTCCTTTCCAAACTAAACAAGCCTAATTCTTTCAGTCTTCCTTTGTAGGTTATGTTCTCTAGACCTTTAATTATTCTTGTTGCTCTTCTCTGAACCTTCTCCAATTTCTCCTCACCTTTCTTGAAATGTGGTGCCCAGAACTGGACACAAGACTCCAATTGAGGCCTAATCAGCACACAGTAGAGCGGAGGATGGCTTCTCATATCTTGCTCACAACACTCCTGTTAATGCATCCCAGAATCATGTTGGCTTTTTTTGCAACAGTGTCACACTGTTGACTCATGTTTATTGTCAAAGTCAGACACACAGGACTCACAGATTTGTCAGACCGCTCTGTTTATTAGCAAAGCCGCTCTGCTAATACACCCAGAAAATGTGAGTACCATACAAAGCTCAAACCCCTTTGATTTATACACTCAAAAGAAAGCCAACTTAACAAGATTAAAAGGTGGCAAAACTTCACATGATTAGTATGAGACTAGTCAAGTATCTTCATTTCCACATCAAGCACACAGCAATCTCCTGTCCATATCGCCCTGGTTACCTCAATTACTTTCTGCCTAACACCTAATGTTCCTTTTCCTGTTATCCCAGGCACACCTGGCTTCATTCTGATCTGCATACCTACAAACATAATCTTCTCTTACAATATAATTCTTTCTACTTTCACATTAGCTTGTGGTCCACTATGACCTCTAGATCTCTTTCTGCAGTGCTCCTTCCTAGACAGTTGCTTCCCATTCTGTGTGTGTGAAACAGATTGTTCCTTCCTAAGTGGAGCACTTTGCAAAATACAATATAACCTCCTACCACCGGGGCATTGGGAGGTTTAATCAATTAACATTTCAGGCTGCTTGGTAAAAGATGCTGGAGACAAGCAATTATGAGATTGTAATTGTGCTGTGACCAACGTGTGAAGAAAAGAATCTTTACAACCAAGGCGCTAGCATTATTTCAATCTGAGTCCGTTAATGGAGAGGGGTTTTTTTTTCGAAAGGTCTTTCCCAGCAATTCCTTTAAGCAGGTTCTGCTATAATCGGGTCAAAAGCTGATTTGCAAATAATCACCGGAGCAGGGAAAAAAGAGAGGGATTTAAGACCAAGCTGTGCTTTTCATACTATTAATTGAAAACCTCTGGGACATAATGTGTTCCTTCTCCGCTCTGAAACCTGTAAGCCGCTATTAAAGTCCCCTTTCTGCCCTGCTTTTGAGAAAGGGTCCCTGATGAGATTAAGGCTGCAGCAGACTCTGAGAACCTTCTTTAATATTCTTCCTTCGGGTGTGAGTTGATTTAGAAAAGGAGCAGTTGGCTGCTGGCTGGAATAGGAGCAGTTTAAGTGATGGGAGGCACAAGGTCGTGCGGGCTTAGAGGCCCTCTCTGCTGCAGAGCTCTGCAAAGTGGGAGTGTTTTAAAGCCAAACTTGGAAGCATTTCCTTATGCATAATAAAATCAGTAATCCCTCACACTTATCTAGCATTTGTCATCCACAGCTGGAGAAACTGAGGCCAGCAGCAGGATGAAGTGACTTGGACAAGGCCACCCCAGCAATCTAGTTGCAGAGCTGGGATGAGAGCCAAGGTCTGAGTGGCAGTCCAGTGCATACTCACACCCACTCTCCCAGAACCAGGGGGTTGTTCCACAACCTGGTGGCACTTACTACATTTAAAAAGCAGAGCCGCAGCGCTGCCCTTGGGCGCTAACGCCCTTATCGATTAGTTGATGGAAATTCCATCGACTACTCGATTAGCTCACTAACCTCTATTTAACATCCCTAGTGGAGGGCCAGTGGCAAGGATCCCTATGGGGACAGCACGGCAGTAGGTTGCCTGCAGCGAGCTGATGGTGGGGCTGCTCAGCGCATGGCAGCGTGGCTGTCTGGTGGGGCCGGGAGCCGTGGTGCCTGGCAGGTCCTGGAGGCAGGTCCTGGAGCTCCAGTGTGGTGTGTGCACCTGCCCGGCAGGTCCTCTGTAGAGTAACTGAGCCTTTCTCCTCCTCTCCTAGCCAGACTGTCCCTGCAGCCGTGAGCACCATGGCGAGAGCTGTGGTGTTAGCAGGTGGTTTTATCGCCATTATAAAGTGGCCGCAACATACCCACAAACACTCAACATACCCCCCCCTCCACTCCCTAACCCGGAGG